TTCCGATCTATCTTGCCTCACCAAGATAATACGGCACACCCATCTTTGGCATGCTTTCCCTCTTGATAAAGCATTGAATCGGAGCATCTCTAGGTCCCGGCTGAATAAAAAAAGAAGCAGAAAAAACCCAAAATTCCCCATCAAGTCTAGTTCACTCTGGAATTACTCCGCCTAAACTATGAACCCCAAACTGGCCAGGGAGATTTACCTGCTTCAGGGAAATAGGGAATGTGATCAAACTGCACAACTCGGGAGTCTTGACCACTTCTTTAGTGATCTCCCTCCATGACCTACAAACCGAAGCACAAGCCACGACGTCTCTCCTTGCAGGCCACGTTGTCTGACTGAACTCGATACGTTGGATTATATCTAGAAGCAATTCGGGAGGTAAATCAACCCAAATGCTCTGATCTACAGATTCGTCGGTAGATGCAGAAGGCAGAGAGGAGCCCTCGGGCGCAATGTGTGATCGCCCTCGGCGACGAGGGTTCTTATTACTACTGCTAGGATCATTGTTCCTTTCATTCCCTCTCCTGGATTTGCCACCACCATTACCGTCCTTCATTCCCCTAAGCTCCCGAACCATGTTCTTGAACGGCATTGCTATTCTACAAGCTCAAGCGCCCGTTCTTCTACAAACCAACAAGCAAAACCCATGAATCAGATTCAAGGTTCTGATCTAAGAATCATTCTCATTCCGCTAGTCCCATGATCAAAACCATCAACAAAATCTATAGGTTAATCAAGCCTCAGCATTGAAGAAGTCTTACACATGAACCCGAGAGGTCTCCGGGGGAATTTATCGGCTCTGCTAGTGCTATTGCAAATGCATCAGCGCCATCTGCTTAAGCCAGGGGAAAAAAAAGGAGAGAACAAATAAACAAAGGACGTCTCGTAATATTATACGATTTGAGAATCTATAAGAGATAGTGATTTTAAATCTAAAATGAAATCTGAGCTCAATCAATGACTATCCATCTGTGCTAGAGTCCAAGGATAAAAAACAAAATCCAAGAGATGCAAAGAATTCGCGAAAAGAATACAAAATTAGAGATGAAAAAAGCTTCTAGAAAGCAGCAATGGAACCATCATGGATCCGGCTTCTCCGCCATTATCCCGACCTCCGAGAAAGATAACAAACACCAAGGAGAGAGAGAGAGAGATTCATGTACCAACTAGCGCGACAAATCCATGGAAAAGCGCGAAAATCCTCTAAGGGAAGATCGATGAAAATGCGGATCGGGAACGAGAAATCGTAGTTTCCAACGACGATAAATGTCTTGGTAGGCGGTAGAACCACGCTCTCCTCCGCCGTCTCCGTCGCCGTCACCACCGCCGGGAAGAATCAGGGAAAAAAGAAACCGACGACGATGACGACGATAACCGCAAAAACGAGAGTATGAGATAAATACAAAGGGGGTCTCGCGCGACGTACGCCTCTGAATTGCAATTGCCGAAAAATAGAATATCAAAATCACAATTCTTCTGCAAGATTTTAAAAATGGTAAAACATGTATAATAATTAATAATATATTTTCTTTTTTATATCTGTCCAAAAGATTTTAAAAATGGTAAAACATGTTTAGTAATGTATTTTCTTTTTTTTTTTTATATCTGTCCAAACCGTATAGATCAACAATTGAAATATTGAAGATATTCGTAAATCCTAAAATTTCAATTATATATTTTATGATTTACAAAGATTAAAATTAAGAGTGTACGGCAAAATACATGAATTTTTTTAATTTGAAAAATAATTATATATAAATTTTTAATTTTATATAAAAAAATATACAAGCTTTAAAATTTGTCATATAAATTCATATAAGTTTGTATAAAAATATTAAAATTTTAAAAATTTTCGAATATATCAACACAATGACAAAAATAACCCATTGAGTTTAGTGTTTTTATTGGTTTATAAATACACCGATACAAAAAATTAATGGTATTCATAAATTCTAAAAACTTGAAATATATTATCACAAAATTAGAAATTTAATAGTTATAAAATTACAAATTATAAAAATTTTAATAGGAACAGTAATTGGATATTTTCCAAGGAAAAAGTTTTCTGATTTTATCTTTTCTTTTACAAATTTATCTAGTGATTATAAGTTTAGTAATTCATGATTTTTCTGTTTTATTACCAGATAACTATAAGGAAAAATAGGATATTAATATATGAATTTATTAAAAAAAATCTTCCAACTAAATATACTAATTTTAAATTTTCCATATAAATAAATGAACTATTCTTAACTTCTATATTAAATCCTGATTTTTTAAACAATAAAACTAAATCATTAACTTGTAAACAATTTTTAAAAAGTCATAAATTAAACTTAAATTTTAAATGATTCCCAAAAACTATCATATCAGGTAATTTTTTGAAACTGTTTAAAAATTCAAATTCTGATATAGAAGTTAAGAAAAACTCATGTATTTTTGGAAATTTTAACTCGTGTATTTAACTAGAAATTTTATTGTATTAATATACGATTTTTCCTAATTACAATGTTATTATATTTTCGTATTTAGTTTAGATGTTATTGTTTTATTGTGAATTATATTTTTTTTCTAGAATTCAAAATTTTAAAATTATATATATTATATTTCAGTTATCTTAACCTTAATAAATTTTTTTAAAATTGTCAAATATTTAAATTATTATGTAATTCCACGTCATCATAATAGAACAGATAGACACTGTATTCGTCCAAATATACAAACTATAAATTTTTAAACTCCAATTAAAGATAAATTAAATTGTTAAAAATACTTTTAACATCACTATATCATAATTTAAATCGATAATGTATTAGACGAAAATATATAAATTGTATTATATCATAATTTAAATTGATAATGTATTCGACGAAAATATATAAATTATATATTGTATATAATTTAAAGAACTACAATGAGTTATTAAATCAAGATAAAAAAAATAGATTAATAGTAATAATGTGTTCAAAATTTTTATAACGATATTTATCATAGATAATATTTTCAAGATAGTATTCTTTAAGAGGCAAAATATCCAAAATACCCTCTTTATGCTCAAACTACTTCTACATCTACTTTCTACCTTGTGACCAGAATAATTGTATGGTCATATGTTGGTCACATTGATTACAACGTTAGATTTTTGATGATTTACCAAATGATTATTGTGATATGTAAGGTATGACCATAGTGATTTGATGTATTCACCATAAATTTAATGTTATGACCAATGTGACATCATGTGTCCATATCGAAGAGTATATGCAGAAATAGTTTTAGCAAAAGGAGGCTATTTTGGATAATGTCCTCTTTAAGATCAGATGCCATTTTAGAGACACGATTTTATGAATCGTTTCTCTAAAAGGGTTGCCAAAACAAAAAGATTGACTCAAGGATTATTTCATAAACAGAAAATGTAATCGAAAGAGTATCTAAATTAAAATAAAATATATTATTGAAACTTTATATATGTACTATTTCTTTTTGAAATTTTATAATTTGGTGCGTTTTTGGTTCTTCATCTTCCAAAGAAAGATGTGATCCAATAATTCATTTTTTGCTATCAATCAAATTTATGTTAATAAATTATCGATACTCAATATTTCACGTACATTTCTTGTCTCTGCTTTTTTTTTCCAAATTTAATCACTATCCGTGTGGAGTTATTTATTATTTATTTTAGATTTATTTGTTTGTTTCTTTATTTTTTGTCTGCGTGGTGGGGCCCGTAATCTGGCCCCACTGTCGGGACAAATACAGATGCATGAACTTAGCGGGGCCCCGGGCCCGGTTTATCCAATAGATCATCGTCCATGATTGATTCCATATCAAATTATCAATCCATCGTTTTTAAATTCAAAAATACATCACACAACTAATTTATTAAAAAAAAACTTTCTACTTTACATTTATTTTCAAAATTCATAAATTATGAACATTAAATAAAAAGGATATTAAAATCATTAACTAAAAATTTTGAAAAAAAATCACTAATTATCTAACTTACTAAAAAAATATCCAACTTTAAATTTATTATAAATTCTATTAATTTTAAAACATAATATATATATATATAAATTATATAATGCTAAATATTACAGTAAAAACTAAATATATATATCAATTTATTATTTTGTGATACTTAGAATTTGTATAAACATTTAAGTTTTTATTATAAAATTTAGAATTGTATAATTTATTCAAGATTTCAAGGGATGTAGAAAATTATAAGATTGAAAAAATAAGAATAAAATAAAAGGGAACTAAGTCCCTTATTTGTTATTGATCGTAAATGGTATCATGGGCGGACCCACGTAGATCAGAATAGGGGTCCTATGCCCACACCTTTTTAATTAAAAAATAATAATTTATTTATAATTTTTAAAAATTTTAGCACAAAATGTAGAAGGTCCCGTTTGGTTTTTTTTTATTGGCCCCCTTCTTACTCTGTAGCCTGTTTTTTTATTTCTTTTTTTTATAAAAATTAGGTCACATATTATTTTTTTTACTCTTTATTTTTATATTTATTTTTTAATATTTTATCTCTCCATCCTTTAAAAAAATCACAAATCAAATATTCAATCATAATATAAAAAACAAAAAAAATAGTAAAATTAAAAGTATTTAGATATTATAATTTTTAAAATAATGTTATTTATTGTTTGTTCATCAATTTGTTGTTATATATGTTTGTTGTTATATATATTTGTATATCCTTATATTTGCTTTGGTAAAGAAATTAAAGAATAAATTTCTCAAAAAAACTTTACATCGATGTTTTAGATAGTGGTAAAATTTCATTCAATAATATATCGAATTCTCAAACCCCTCAATACTTAAACAAATTTATTTAAATGATTTGTCTTCGCATCTGATAAAATTAACTGGATTTTATCCAGATGACTTCAGTTTTACGGAACAAGTATCTTTTTGATATAACTTAGCATCTAAATCGATAATTTGATGAAAGATAGACATTTTTTAATTTGGCTAATCGTGGAGATATTGTTGTTCTTGTGATGAAAATAAAGAAATATATTTTATATCTATTGATATACAGACTTTCAAAATTAACTTTAATTTTGCTTGTTGATATCGCGACTGTTAATATATGATTTTTACCAATTAATTTTGTGAAGACAACTGTATGCAATCGGATTGGTAATCAACTTTGAGTAATTATTTAGTTTGTTTTATTAGAAAATATATATTTTACATAATTACAAAATGAAGTTGTTATAAATATATTTTAAAAAATAAAAAATCATAAAATTTGGTCGTACAATTTAAACATTTTTTAGCAATATATTTTTATTAATTTATTATATATATATATATATATATAAAATTATTAGTGCCCCACTGATATTTTTTTCTGGGTCCGCCACTGAATGGTATATACATCCTATTTAAAATGCACTAAACTAACGGTTAGTATATATTACAATGGAAAAAAATCAATTAAAATATAGAAAAAGGAAAGATGCAGAGGTGTGTTGACAAAAGGAAAACTCGCATGTCTTGGGATTAATCCAAGATATGATTGACTTTTGAGCATCTAAAATTATATTCAACGGACATATTGCATATATTCTTTAGCATCTTGCTTCTTGCCAAATCACCTTCCAATATATATAATTCATACACGTCGTAAACCATGGTTCATGCAATTCATGCAATGGTTTCTTTTTTCAACATTCTCTCTCAAGATTAGTTTGGAGAAATATCGAAAAACTAATTTTGAAAATCGAATGTCTTCATGATTGAGATAAGGCGTCCTAAAACATTCTACTCCCTTCGATATCTTTTTCAAGCTTCGAATATATGCTACTTTCATTTTTATTTTCTGTAAGATCTCAAAGAAAATGTAGCAAACACAAGAGAGCTCATGACATTCCCTTTAAAAATTAAAAATGAGAATAAACATGTAACAATGTGTGTTTCATCGAACAATAATAAAAATAACGTCTTAGCGTGCTTAAATGCTAAGTTTGTGACACCCGAATACCCGCATCCCGCAATACGAGTTACGTCACATGGACAACTAAAATAAAACTCAATTTCCAAAAAGTCCGTGGGGATTTAAAACTTTTCTTTTCAGAGTTAGCGGAAGAAAACACCCGTATATATATATATGATACATTATTTGCGGTTATAATTATACATAACCGAGTGATAGTATAACATTATTACAAACCTTAAAAGTTTACCACTGATATAAAACAAACCGTTTTCCAGAATATAAACATATCAAAATACATAATTATACATGATCGGTAGTGGTAAGCTGCCCAAGTCTCCGATGTCCGCTCCTCGGCTACTGCTGCTCACACCTGACACGTTGCATAACAACATCCTAAGCTAATTGCTTAGAGAGTGAACTCGGGCGTAATCCGGAGTTCTATTCTCATGGAACCAGGGAAAACAAGTAC